TATATATGTATATGTATATATATATATATATATATACTTACACGTAAATATATAAAAATATGAAAAATATTTATAAAAAAATCTATAATGATTTTGTACGGTCTCACCTTGAGAATGAGCTGTTTGAGGAAAAGAAGCATAAACGCCCGCAGGGATATAATCTCCTTCTGAGAGGGCCGTGGACCATCTGTAAGAAAACACAGTGGTTTACAGCGATTACATCGGTTGCACACATCTAAACTCTTAATAAACACCTGCGTATGGTGTTTAATATATGCGAGACTCTTAATATATGCTATTAATCATAATCAATGAACCAAAAAATTAACAATGCCTTATGCCATTTTGATTCCTAATTCTCCGTTTAAGCTTGTTGGAAAAACATATTTACGCGGCTGACTTCATAAAATATCTTTGAATATTTCGCAAAACTAACAGCTGAAAATCATGTGACTCATCTATTAATGAACAAACTAAAACTTCTATAAAAAATTTCAGGACAAGGGAAAAGCCGCAGGTTTCTTGCGATGGGTTCGAACAGAATTCAGTACAGCGACACACAAAACACAAGAAAAACAAAACCAGCACTTAAGACGCAGCTTAGGGAATACAAACCCCTAAATGAACCGCAAACCCCATTTCCAAACCACACAATCACCCTATTTCTCTCTCTCTTTTACAATCCCTCACTATCTTTCTCAAATAGACACACGAGCACTCCTCATCTTTTATTGAACGTGCAGCGCCCAGACGTTACAAAGCTGCCATGAAAAATTGACATCACTCTCTGTATGGAAAGCCAAAGTGTAACAGAAAGCTCAGTGCATGTGTGTGATGTAATGAAGCAGTTCAGCGTCCTCCCCATCTCAAGCCATGTTCATCCCTACATCAGGTGTGTGGCGCCTTTGTCCTTGCACTGCAGTTCAGCACTCTGTGTGTAGTTACACACATTTGTACGCTATGAACGTGGTCAAGGTCTATTTGTAGCCAGGTACATCCCTTGACCTTTCCCAGCTGCAATGATTTGGTGCAGTGAGAGAATTGATGATCGGGTGTAGACTGTGCTCTGCTTGAGATCTGGAGGAAGAGATTTGTCTCGGGTCAGTGTATGTGTCCCATAGTATTAAGCAGGATGACCACCTTACAGCATCCCAAGGGTCAAAGCAAGGCCAGTTGGGACGATCAATCAGTGCCTGTTATCATAACAGATCTGCTGCATACTTAAGAATATAAAAAAATATTTGTCAATGATTGTTCTGTGTGAAAATGTGCTTACAGATATGCAAACGAATGCTTAGTGAAATGCAATTAGAATTAGATTAACACTGTATTTGTCGGCCAAAAGTTTGTTAATTTACATTTACATATTTAAATCATTTGAGTTTTAAAATCCAATTAAGGCCAAACATAAATTAAAAGAAGTCTAAATTAACACTACGTTGCACAGAAACAAACACACTCACTCTACAATGTGACAGACCCATGCAACATCATGGGAAGGGCAACAGGGTTGCCATGGTGACGGGCTCTGCATCTAACAGAGATAAGCAGCCACAAGTCACAGTGTTATCTGAAGTACACAGAGAAGGGAAGAACCAAATGCAACTACAGGCTTGTCTAAACGGGCCAGTACATCCACTATATATTATAATATAATGGACGACATCCAAAAACTGAAGTACATGCACAGCTTTTACCAAGCCTGCAGATAAAAAAAAAAAGTACATTTTCACGTTTTTAAATTACTTTTGCGCTCACTTAAAATTAATCTTTAAACACATTCTAAATGTAATCCTTGGTAATTCTCAAAATGAATATCCATTTCTCATACTCTACTTTATAATGATGCATACATTCACTTGTAGCATTAAAAAAATTATTTTTAAGTGTTTTCCTTTTAATTTACTCAGACAAAACAGTCTACAATTTTGTATATTGACCTGCATTGGCCAGAACTGTAATATCAGTGCATCCCATATTATATATACAGTATATATATATATATATATATATATACTGTATATTGTTTTTAATGAATTCATTAAAATTTAATTAATATGGATAAAAAGTGACAGGAAAGACTTTCAAATTGTTACAGTTACAACTTTTAAGGTTACAAATGTCTATTTCAGAAAAATTCCTGAAAAAATCTATCACATTTTCCACATACATTTCAACAATGTTAATAATTAGAATAATTAGAAATATTTCTTGAGCACCATATCAGCATATTAGAATGATTTCTGAAGGATCATGTGACACTGAAGACTGGAGTAATTCAGCTTTGCCATGACAGGAATAAATTATATTTTAAAATGTATTAAAATAGAAACTGTTATAATATTTCACAATTTTTCTGGTTTACTGTATTTCTGAAAAAATAAATGCATCCTTGATGAAAATAATTTTTTTAAGCAAAAAATATTTTACCAACCCCACAACAGTAGTGTACCTTTGCTGTCATCTTGTGATGGCTAAATTTAATTACAGCATTTAGCGGATTTTAGTCTTAGTGTTTTGTTTTTCATTTATACTGTATATACAAAACAGTATTAATTTTAATATCTACCATTTATTCACTATCAGCCAGAACATAAGAACAATAATCAGCTTATTTGTATTGGCCAGAATTTTTATATTAGAAGCTTTTATATACAATACCATTTTATATGCTTATTTACCATAATCAAATATCATATCAGCATTATGTCTGCCATCAGATATGTTGCTTTTTAAATACGTTCATTGTTTACTTAAATGTCACATGTAAACTAAACAAATACAGTTGAGTTGAACAAGCAGATCATGGTGATCAGCTGTTTAAGGGCTAACGTTTATAAGCGTGTCAGATCAGTAAAACACATCATGAGGCTGTTATAGATGTTGGATGCTACAAATCGTTCACTTCAGACTTTAAAGCATTACTATACCATCTATCTAACTCAGAGACTCACCTCTGGGAATGACAGGCCAGGATGGAGAAAGAGAGAGATGGCAAACAGATGGAAGAACTGACAGATTTTGCATGTGGCATTTGGGAAAACAGTGAGAAGGAAGGAGAAACAAATGAAAGATGAACTACAGCAGGTACGAGAATGAGAAAAGAAGTAAGAGAACTATCAAATCAGAAAGTGGAAAACACTGAAGAGCGAGACAGAGAGAAAGTAATCTTGAGAACAAACCGGATTAAGAATGAAGATGAGCACCTTAAGTCTGAGGAACAAAAGTTGCCCAGGACACTAAAATAGACCGAGACAGAGGGAGAAAAAGGAGTGGGCAGAGTTTCAAACTTCATTCATGCTTAATATTGCTGGCTGCCTTTTTGTAGACACACTCTCCACCCTGCCACAACATACCGGTTAGCGTATGTGAGGACTTCTGAACTGCTCAGCTGTTCCCAGAACATGTTTATTTCCTCTGTGGTATTTTGTTTTGTTCAAAAACAAAATGATCATGAGATCTCACTATCTAGGGATTTCATTTAGGCTAATTTCGCTACCTGATCCTGTCGACAATGTGTAACTATTCTGTACAGTATGACGTAAAGTGTAAAGGATTCCTGTGAGGTGGTAAATTCTACAAATAGACTTGTTTGAGGACTCACCCAGGCCTTTAGGGGTGATACCGCTGCTTTCCAGGGGGTTGCTGGCCCAGTAGTAGTACTTGAGGGTGTGCATGAGCTGCAGGACGGTGCCCACTCTACGGATGGTGCTGTAGATGGTGGCGGTGCCAATGAATTCTGCCGACAGGTACGTGTAGAGGGAAAGTTGAACCTGAGAAATGGAAAACACACACAGTGGATTACACGATTTAAAATGAGCTGAAAGGGTTGTAACAAAATTCTGATAGGCCAATACAGAGTCAACGCCATGCTTAAATACATATGCTGCATTCACGCCATGTCATAATTACGATCATTTCGAGATGACAACATGTGACATTCTAATCGGAGTTGGTCACATCCTTGGACTCGTATATATGCATTTCTATGGCAACATTATCAACACCTAAACAGCAGCTAAATGAATCTGAGGCAGTCAGGTGGTACAGTGATCACATGGTACACATCATAGCTCTTAGAAAATTCCTAGTTTACAAGTTGTAATCATGAGTTCTACAAGTTGGTATCTCGAAATTACGGTAATTACGACATGGCGTGCACGCACCTATAGTACAGTTTACTTGTCATGGAATATATTTTCTAGCAGAAGGATGATTTTTAATTAAATGCTTAATAAACTAATTTGTGTAATAAAACAACATTATAATGAATACTTTGTCTTTAATATTACAATATAATTTTTAAAATAATTAATATGAATTTTTAAATAAAAATATGAATATATTTAAATATATATTTTTAAAGCAATAAGGCACTCAAAGCAATGCTAAATTGTAAATAGCACCTCAAAATATAATCATCACCCACACTACCATTCAAAACCACAATATATTTTTCTAAAAAAGTTGAAATTGAAAAGGTCTGTAACATTATGAATGTCTTTACTGTCACTTTTGATCAAATAAACACATCCTTGCTGAATAAAAAGAATTAGCTTAAAAAAATTCTCTAACCTCAAACTTCTGAGTGTTACTGTATATTACGCTACTGTTCCTTTGGCTGAAGCAACTGACAATCATTTCATGAGTCAGTAAATAAATATGAAAAACACAGCACATCCGAGTTAGATTTTTCCCTTTTACAAAGTTGTTCCTGTGAAGAAAATGTTCCAGTGTTTCTGTGTAAAAAGCCATTCTCCTGAAGCCATCCCTGTGGGACCCTCACACATACACACACACAGACATGTGTATCCCACATTTACACACAGCCATTTCTTACACTGATCAACATGGACATGCTAATTAGGCTCAGGCTTAATGAGGCTGCTGTGGAAACCAACTTTTATCAGTGTGTTTAATCTCATGTTTGCCCCAGCCTGCTGATTCAGGTCAATATCATGGGGACATTTCCCCCCTAACTTAATTACAGCTTTATACGCAAGCAGGTCAAAGATAAAGCAAGAAAACCAGGACCTCACAATGACAAGTTGAATCCACTAGGCTTTTTACATGTTCTAATGAAAATGTAAGCAGTGCCTGAGCAAAGTTCACCGCCAATGTGTCTGCTAAGGTGTTATGAATGTTTTATTTTTTTAACAAATTCCTTTTTTTCACATCAAGGTAGAACACTGAAAAGTGTGAAATCTGCCTCAAACTGAAAAAGCTGATCTATAGCTTGAAGTTTTCTTTCTCCGTAGCAGTAATATTTCACATATCTGCTTCCTGCACTCAAGCCTTCACTTCATCTCTCTATTTTTCATTCCCTCTGGATGTTTCTTCATTCTCTCTCTCATAAAGGGCTGTAGTCGCTGCAGGATATTCACTCTTCTGCGTGGACGGGTGAGGGAACAAAAGTGGACGATCGTTTCTTCCTGCAGTCATGTTTCCTAGGTCATTATCCAATAATTGAGCCTCTCTGCTTTTGTAGAGGAACGGCACTTTTTTCCCCCAAATTTGTGGATCAAGTGCCTTTGAATACAAAGCTTACGCACACACTTCACACCTCGTAAACTCGACGGATAAAAATATCTAGAAGCATATGCTTTGTGCAATCAAGTACACAAGTTCTTCAGACATAATGTAAGCTGACTGCTTGGGTTAGAATATCATTAACACTTATACTCTTATAAAAGGTCCTTTGGTGGTGGTTCCATGGGGCACAGATGGTATCAAGACTATATATTACATATATTGCAGGTCCTCTTAATGAAACAAATGATGAAACAAATGGAAGAAATCCAATTATATTAATGTGAAAGATGTAATTAAAATATTGATCCTCTGAATAGCAATACAGTGTGAAAATTTCCTGTAAGTTTCCTTGGTGAGCATAAGATACTTCTTTCAAACCGACTTCTGAAAGTTACTGTAAAATACTATTCCAAAATAACATTATTATACTTTGAAATAATATTATTATATACTAGTAAATAAACAAGTTTGTAAAAATAACGACAATGGCTATGGACAAGGAAATATTCAACAACAATGGACAGTTGTGAAATGTGACTGTTTTTTTTGTGTGTTTTTTTTTACCTTTAGCGTGTGTGGGACGAGCTCACCTTAGCTGGTGTATGGATCCAGATGGCAGCATTAAACAAAACGTGATCACACAGCTGCTTCAGTAAAGGAGCTCCGTGAGTCAACCCATCTAGATACTTGGCAAATGACAGAAACTGCTCCAAAACTGCCCTGGTGATGTGTACCCGAGAAGACTAATGAAGAGAGAGAGAGAGACAAGTGTCAGACAGAGAAAGTGAGAGACACAGCATAGAGCGAGACAGACCGTGTGTTTCAGGCTTTTGACATTTTTATTAACAGAAACGCTAGATAGGGGACAGAAAATGTGCGAGCCACAGTGCGAGCTGGATTCAATCCTACATCTCCTGAACAAGTGCTGCAGCTCAGTGTGTCTAGAGCATGTGTGTTACCCACTAAGCCGTGGCTCAGATTATCTTAACTATTTCAAGATATTATTAATTAAAATGATAAATAGTCATCGTCTGTAACCTCTGCTCATGTGAATCTGACACAATTTTGGCCAAAGACAATGCTCCAAAACTGCCCTGGTGATGTGTACCCGAGAAGACTAATGAAGAGAGAGAGAGAGACAAGTGTCAGACAGAGAAAGTGAGAGACACAGCATAGAGCGAGACAGACCGTGTGTTTCAGGCTTTTGACATTTTTTATTAACAGAAACGCTAGATAGGGGACAGAAAATGTGCGAGCCACAGTGTGAGCTGGATTCAATCCTACATCTCCTGAACAAGTGCTGCAGCTCAGTGTGTCTAGAGCATGTGTGTTACCCACTAAGCCATGGCTCAGATTATCTTAACTATTTCAAGATATTATTAATTAAAATGATAAATAGTCATCGTCTGTAACCTCTGCTCATGTGAATCTGACACAATTTTGGCCAAAGACAACTTCTAATTTATGATTAACTGATTTTATTAATTAAAAAAAAATAGTGGATGACTGTCTTACCTTCTCCAGTAAATAGCCAATAACCAGGAAGCCTTTTCCACCCAACATCTGCTCTTGCATGGCTACTGAACTTTTCAACAACTCCACTAGAAAAGCGAGGAGAGTGGCACTGCAAGTAAAAACAAAAATTGATATACGTATATATGTAGCATTTGTGAGAGAATGGGATCAGGATACAATGTGTAAGGGTTTAATAAACCAAAATAAAGGTTCCAAATGAGGGTTTTCATGAAATAAAAATTTTTTCTTCCCCACTGAACCTTTCAGCAATCATTTCTTAAAATAATAATTTTTTCTTAGTGTGAAGAACATTTTAAAGTCTAAAGAATTGTTTATCAAGGTTCCATGGATGTTAAAGGTTCTTCATGGAAACATCAATGCCAATAAAGAACCTTTATCTTTAAGAGTGCACATTTCTTATGGTAGCCAAATGTTTAAGGACAACTCAAGGGCAAGATAATGTATCCCAATGAGCAGTATAAAAAGAAAAATGTACACACACACACACAATGATGGTTCCCCTTCCTAGAAGCAATATTGTCATTCTAGCAAACACAAATTGTATCTTAGTTTCTTAAATGACATAGCTGAGACAGTGAGATTGCAGATGAAATCCTCAGTGTCTCTTTCAATTTCTAAACTGCCATAAGCTGACGGATGGGCCGGTGACCTCACCCATCTCCCCACAGACAGTAAATCCCAGCGGGGAGCATTACCACTGATCGATACCTCACAGATATCTGCTCCGCTGATTATGCCTGCCAGCTCACTGCTGATCTCTAATCTACTCGCCATGCCTGCAAGCTCAATGAGCAGAACTACACAATGACCTGCGAAATGAGGCTAAGGCCAAACTACTTTGAGGGGTCTCTCTGACTCCGAGAGTCTATGTGAACAAGAATGGTATGAATCTCTCAAAATCCCACGCTCTCTCCGTCACACTCTATTTACAAGACTAGAAGCTTTGGACTTAGGGCCTTAGAGAGAGGGCCATGCAGACATTACTGTAACATTTACAATGCAAATAATTACTGTTTTCAAACAGGTTTCTCAAAAACTCCCTCAGTCTCACATTGGTTGGACAAACAGATAGTAGTGTCGTAGTGCCCCAAATTCATGCAATTGGTTGAGCCAATGTTGCCATGTCTGTGGTTTAGGGGCTCAAAAAAATAAAAAAATAAAATGTAAAAATGGCTTACTTTTGTATAGTTTACACAGTCGTTCAAAAGTTTTTTTATGTTTTCGAAAGAAATCTCTTATGCTCACCAAGGTTGCATTTATTAGATTAAAAATACAGTATACAGTAATATTGTGAAATATTATTTACATTTAAAATAACAATTTTCTATATTTTAAAATGTAATTTTTTCCCTGTGATGGGTAAAGCTGAATTTTCAGCAGCCATTACTCCAGTCTTCAGTGTCACATGATCCTTCAGAAAACATTCTAATATTTGGTGCTCAGGAAACATTTATTATTAGTATCATTGTTGAAATCAGTTGTGCTGCTTAATATTTTTGTGGAAACTGTGATGTATTTCTTTTTCAGGATTCTTTGATGAATAGAAAGTGTTTCAAACTGAAACCTTTTGTAACATTATAAATAGCTTTACTGTTACTTTTGACCAATTTAATGTATTCACTGCTGAATAAAAGCTGTAATTTCTTTCAAAAACAAAAAAACTTTTGAATGGTAGTAGTCTCTGTATATTAACCTTGGATAGAAATGTGTAGTGTAGGAAAAAAAGGTAGAATATTCTCTTATAGATATAAATGGCATATGATAAGCTAAAATGAAAGATCTACTAAACCCTACATTAAGTTCAGTGGATCTGCAGTCTGTATGGTCAATACTCACCAGACGGTCGTCTCCACAGGGCTGTCGTTGGGTTGCCTGTAGTCCAGCTGTGAGAAGAGCGGGAAGAGAACTTGGATTCCTCCAATAGAGTGGATGGCGCTGTGGATGGAGTGAGTGACGATGGCTTTCACATCCTGCATACACAAGCAAAAATGCACACTTGCTTAAGGAAACTTTCATAGAAGGTCATAATGCATCATATATACAGTATACAATTAAAGCAAAAATGCACACTTGCTTAAGGAAACTTTCATAGAAGGTCATAATGCATCATATATACAGTATACAATTATAATCAGTTGTATGATGATAATAAGCTGCATGTTGTGCCTTCAGCCCCACAATATGTGCTTATATTTTCTGTTACAACCATGATACGTCAACGTCATCACCCTTACTATAAAAATATTAGTTGGATTTTTAGATAAATTGCCTCATTTTAAGTAGGTAATGAAAAAAACTGCAAATTCATTTAATACTTAAATAGAATATGGTTCTTTCTATATCAAAACACACTTTTCACATTTAACAAAAACAAAGAAAAAAAAAAGAAACTTACATGAACATGTTTAACTAATTAATCCAAAACATTTCCTCTCTACATAAATATTTTTTCAGTTTTTTAGCCTGTTTTTCCCCCAGTAATCAGTAAACAGCAGAGATAAACATGATATGTTGTCTGTGTGAGAGTAAAAACCGACCTGCAGCATCAGTGCATGTGGCGAGTGCACAAATATGGAGGGGTTTTCCCTGGGCGAGGACTCTAGGCACAGCTGTGCGTCGGTGGCTTTAGCGTTGTAGGTGAAGGCAATGCTGCTGGCCAATTTCCCATCATACAGAACCTGCTTATGGTGCTCCGCCAGGTGGATGTCGCTTTCCGACTTGAACTTAAACGTGCTCTGTGAAGACAGAGAAACACATAAATGAAGTGAACACATCCTTCAAATGAAGTTCTCTCACATTTTGCTTCTCTTTCAGTCTCTCTTGGTAGCAGACGGTGGAAAGCACCAGGGACTGGGCCACATCCCAGAGGACTGATAATAATAATAATAATAATAATAATAATAATAATAATAATGCTTTAATTACTGAGGCACAGAGCAGCCAGACACACAGGCGTACATTATGTTAATGAAGCTCTGGCTGCAGAAATGTGTCATTTCACTAATGGTGTTAAACGTTAGTGTGAGTGTGTATCGGTACGAGTGTGTGTGTAAATGTGCATGTATCTGCAAAATCTCTCTCATGTAAAGCACTTTGTGCCACTAGTGAGCAGTGTTGGGGAAAGTTACTTTTAAAAGTAATGCATTACAATATTGCGTTACTCCCTAAAAAAGTAACTAATGACGTTACTTAGTTACTTTTTATGGAAAGTAATGCGTTACTTTCGCGTTACTTTTTAAATATGAGCAGGACTTGATTGTTTTTAATATAAGAAGTTCCATTTATAGCAAATGTAAAAGCCCTTTCACACCAAAAAGTATAATGAATAAACCTCATGCTGAAGGAAAAGTAAATTCACGTTTGTACAGTAGAACGCAGGAGAAGAAACACTCTTCAGCAATAAAAAAACAAAGCACAATTGTTAGTTTCTCTAAAGTCATTTTTGCTTATTAGTATGGTTGAACTGGATCATCAAAGGTCAGCAGCAAAGACATTGGTTAATAAAATGGGATTAGATACATTTGTGTTATTTAACATATTTAATTATTGCAGGTTTGCGTCATATTCTGAGTTTGCATTTCATTGTTTTAATTCATTTTGATGAATACTAAATTTGTTTTTTGTGAGTGGGATGATTTAATGCACATTCACATTTAGTTTAGAACTTGCGTTACTTTACTAGTTACTTGAAAAAAGTAATCTGATTACGTAACTTGCGTTACTTGTAATGCGTTACCTCCAACACTGCTAGTGAACTACTCAACTGAGGGAGTGAATGAGGGACTTACTTAATTCATGCAGAATTTTATGGAGCCAGATCGGCCTCAAAAATAATACATTTATAAGTTTTGATTGGTGGATTAAAAGCTCACTGCGATTGGCTGAACGGAACATCCTTTAAAAAATATATTTATGAATCTTAACCTGCCAGGAAGGTCTCAAAAATACCGCACACAAATTCAAAGCAGTCCACGCATGTGTGATGATTTGCAAATGCAGATTCAACGATCCATAAATACATGTAACATCATTCATAAATGTGTGATGGAAATTAATTCAAGAACTTGATATATACATATTTGTGTAAACATTTTACATTTATTTAGGTAAGATGCTTTTGTGTGAGCATTTGGGGAAATATTTATGCATTTACTTCTGTATTTATGAATTGTGCTTTGAATTTACGAATCGGATTTTGTAAATGTAAATTGTGCTGTGCATTTATGAATTTTGTTTTATAAATGTATTATTTTTTAGGACGATCTGGCTCCATAGAATTTCTTGACCATGCATTTTGTATACAGTATGGAATGCTCAGAAAGAATTTTACTCAGTGAACTGCGTTTATGTAATTGTTTTAGACAGATAAATGGGTAATTTAGAATGTAAACGTGCAATTTAGGAAAAAATTTAGGATGTAATAAAGACATCCATCCATCTATTTTTTACTTATGTAGGGTCACAGGGATGGGATGGCCAATTTAAAGACATATAACATCGAAACTGACCCCATTTACCCCATTATAGATGCATCCAGTCTTACTGTGTGCTATTCAACAGTATTAAAATAAATGAATAAACACTAGTAGATACACAATAAACCGTAAAATAAATAGTAATATCTAGTAGTAATATCTGCAACATCTAATTGCCCCATGAGTCTACAGCAGCACTTCTGAACAGAAAGGACAGACGCATTAGAAATGAGAGCAGCATAAACAGTCACACACACTGAGCAATTTTTTTAAATGGTAAGATGCAAATAAACCCTTGCACTGGCACTGTGATTCACTGCAGTTTCCTCAGGCCTGCTGCCAATGTGTCCACTTAGCCACACACTGACTGGCACTGAACGCAGCATCAAAACTTATCTACCAGACTCTGTTCACACACCCTGCCTCACCCCCCCACTCCAGACATAAATACACACACACACACACACACACACGCACGCGCGCACACGCACACACACACACAATTAGCTTAAGTTTAACTAGCTCTCGAAATAGGAACATATCCTAGCCTTCTATTATTTATGAACATTATTAAGAACAGCACGAGAGGGTTTATTGTGCAGAGTCTAAAAGGTAAAGCACAGCATGCTATCAGCACACTAATTAAAGCATCAAAACTAAAAATATATACAAATATAAAAACAATTCTAATATCTAAAATGTACCTAAAATAAATATATGAAATATAAAATGTAAATAATAATAATAATAACTTTATAAATAATAAAACTATAATGCTATTTACATTTATGCATTTTGCAGCATTTTGTCAAACAGACAACAATATTCGTAATATAAAATGTCAGGTTTATTAGACAACTAGATTAGGATAACAATAAATAGATAAGGACAACAATAAATAAATAAATAACAACTATATAAACTATACAATTAATAAAACTATAATAAAACTCTACAAACAAACAAACAATTAAATGTTTTCATAAAGTTTCATGAACTCAAATACTCAAATACAAACTTTATTTGCTGATGTTGAAACCAAGGCCTTGTAAGAGGGGAAAATATTAACCAATAATCAATATTAATCTATAATAATAATCAATAAATAACATTTAAAGCACAGCATGCAGTTAGCACAATAATTAAAGCATCAAAACTACAAATACAATTTTAATATAAAAAAGATCCATCTCTAAAATAAATATATCTAAAGTACAAAAACTATGTACACAATAAACAAACAAACAGTATAAAAATATATAGCACTCAACTGACTATTTGACTAGCTGGTTGTTTTATGACCATCAAATCCACCAACATGAATCATCTCTATTATTGAGCACTTTTCCCCGAGAACATCCCAAAAAAAGCAGTTCAGAATCACAAAAACTATGCAAAAAGAGAAAGAAACCATTAACATGGTCATGCAGTCAGTGGGCATGAGCACAATATGTAATCAGGGCCAGTGTTCCAGCATATTCACGTGGCATTCATCTGCTCCATCACAGAGGGCACAGGAGCACCAGCAAACTCAAGCAGCTGTCTGGGAAACGGGTCACTGCTTCAACACAGCCTATGGCTCATAGCCCATGCTGCAAAGCTAGCACACTTTTTCCCTTGCTGTCTCTCTCTCTTTTGCTCCTCGCAATCCCATGAGAGGACAGCTGCACCAGCACCAGTGACAGAGACTAACAGCACTGAAATTAAGCAGAGCTTTCATACACTCTGGTGATCTATATAACTTATAAACACACACACACACAAGTTCGCCGGTCCAGACGGCTCTCTTTTCGACAATGCCAAGTGCCCCATACCTCACATGCTAATTACCACGGCAACGCACAGTCAGAAAGCAGCTTGTTGGCTGTCACATGCTGACCAGACATCTGGACTTCCTCTGGTACAGGGACCACATCAACTGGCTGCAGCAGCAACACACACTCAAACCCAGACTTTCACAGACAGACAGATAAGGACACAAATGAGCAACACATGCATGTAAAAATCGGCTTCATATGACCTGGCATGGCATGCTATCACTAGTTTTGTATTATGAAGTATGTGTACTATGTCTGCATTCAGTATGTGTACTATGTTTGCACCTGTACATTTTATGTATGCATGAATGCCCTGCTACATTTGCAGAAATGTGCAATATATATATGCAATAAACAGAGAATACTCTACACTAAATCCCAGAATGCAATGCGCTGCACTTCACTTGACCTTTATTTCAAGTGTGACCAAGCATTAATTCCTACCATCCCTGACTCATTATTTCATCAGACTTCCAAAAGTTGACATTTTTCACATAAATTAAATTGACAATGCAAGACTGTTTTTCACCAGATTGTTTGTTCCATCATGCAATCGACTGAGGTCATGTGACAACAGTGTAGCATACTACTGCTTGAAATTTCATCTTTGCATAATACATACTGTTTCATATACAAGAGGTTGAAATGAACATGCAATGAGGTCATGTGACAGAAATATTGCATATTGTTTCTAGTTATCTGCAACCTTTATTGCTACATGCTGCATACTTTCAATTTATTTTCAAGACGTTATTAATTTTATTCAACAAGGATGCATTAAATTGATCCAAAGTGACAGTAAAGACATTTATAAGCTCCAAATCAGCATATTAGAACGATTTCTGAAGGATCATGTGACACTGAAAACTGGTGTAATGATGCTGAAAATTCAGCTTTGCCATCACAGCAATAAATGACATTTTAAAAAATATTAAAATAGAAAACAATTATTTTAAGTTCTAATAATATTTCACAATAATAATGTTTTACTATATTTTAATCAAATAAATGCAGCCTTGGTGCATTTGCATGTTTTCAATATGGTGACAGCAGGAGGAACGGCTGATGCTGCACAAGGTAAGCTTGTACTAGTGACTAGTAAAAATAAAGCAGTGGCTTAACAAGACCTGTAAAAGATGATCACATTAAAAATCCACATCAAGTTTTATATCAATAATGTAAAAGATTCATTGCATACATCAAGTCTCATCATGATAGAGCGTCAGAGCGTCACACACTCATCAGACAAACACACACAGCCCATGAATAATCCACACTCTCTGCTCTCTTGATTTTTCTTTTACAAGAGGAACTTTTTGTCACGTGGGTACATGGATTAATAATTAAAAATCCCTCAGTAATCCAGATGAGGTTAACTCTTTGTGCCAAAAGAGAGAGAGAGACAGAGAGGGAGACATGCTTTCATTTTTATTCTCAGATTTAATAAAGACACTTTCTGTCTCCGTTATCCTGGTTTAACTTAACACTAAATACTGCCTAATGAACTCAGCCTGGTTAAATCTAACAGGTTCATAATCTCTCTTTAACCTGCTGGTTGGGCTCATAATCACAATCTTGTTAACAGCCTGACTATCCTAAAAGGCTGCATGTCTGGATGATAAATATTTAAAAATATCAAAATATTTTGCAGTTTGCTTGTTTTTTTTGATGATGATGATGATATTCAATATATTTTGATATGTTTTAAACAACCATTATTAAATCCATTTTAAATTCAATTTCATATTTTAATGCAAGAAGTAAAATACAGCTTAAATCTTTTTTTTATTTTTTTATTTTAATTTTCCACTAAACCAGAACAGGGAAGAAGAATATTTGATCACTTTTATTTATATTCACTTAAATAACAATATTGTTGTTATTATTATTATTACTATTATTATTATCAACCTTAATAAGATTAATCAAATATGAATCAAATGAATATTATTAAACAAAGTTAAATATTTCTCTGAAAACATTTAGATATATGAAATATGTCACAGGGACTTTTGTGTGCTTAAATGAACTTTTGAAGTTTTGAATTGATTCACTGAAACGGACTGTTTGAACGGATTCATGGAAATTAATCCAACTTTTATCACTTTCATTTATATTTAACAATAAATAACAATATTTATCTAGTTTTTTTATTACTGTTTACCTAATATTATTAATTCATTTAAAAAGAAAATTAAATAAATATTACTAAGCAAAAATAAAAACATTTGTTTTTGCTAAGCTATTTTTACTAAAATATTTAGATAAATAAAAAATGTCACACAGAGACTTAAGTGTACATTTTTGATTGAGGATTTAAATGAAGTTTAAACGTTTTGAATCGATTCATTGTGATAGACTTTTTCAACTGTTTCATGAAATGAGTCAAAATGACCAACATATTTTCTGCTACTGATGTTTAAATCAGGCTATTAAAACATCTCAAATAAAACACTCATTCCTGCAAGTCAAGCAAATATTGTGAAATAAGTCTAATAACTAGCCTTTAGAAAACGTACTTTACATTAAATTAATAAACTTTACCAAATCATACATCTACCATATCATGTTGCTTAATTTTAAATCAACAGCAAAATAGTGATAAATACATTATGAATATTAGATATATTGTCCAGTCTTATAAAGCAGCAGCCTAAACAAGCTGTGCTTTGCCTGATGCAAAAACAACACAGAGATCAGCACTGAGAGTTGAGGTTAATCATCTGTCTATTTAGCTGTAATGTACGACAACATCATCTGACTCAAGTACACAAAAGCTGCTTATAATCATCAGATCATCTGACCTGGGTAAACAAGCCCTGTCCGCATGCTTCCTGAGAGCTTTAGCTTAAATTAGGGAGTCTCGCGCTTGGCTGGAGAGAAAAATTCTGCCGCTGATTTTTTTTTAGTTAAGGGAGAAAAATCTAACTTGACGGCTTGGATTTCCCCTCAACGCTCCTCTCTGAAACAGCTATTAATTGGTCAACCAGAAAGACAAGACAGCGATTAACATCACCCATCTATCCTATCCTCTTCCAGATTTGTACTGAGAAGGGATTTTTTAAGGGTTCATTTATGTCAAGTGCTGCTTTGGCATAAACACTTTAGCCCATGAAGCAGCAATCAGCTCCACATGCGTACAGACCCGAGAGACAGGCCTGTCTGAGAGGTGAGAGTCCGGTTAATGAACGAGAAAGAGAGAAGAACATCAGGTATTACTAACAGATCTGTCAGGGAAATGCAGAGCCGGTGTAATGAGAAAGTACTTTAGCATGGCCCATGTTTCAGGAAGGGTTGTCTCAGCCTTAGACACGGACCACCCAATGTCCGTTCACTCAACTACTCACAGAGAACTGGAAAGCAACACAACAGTCAGCGTGTACAGCTTTTTATCAGTCCACCTGGAAGCTAAAAACACATTCGCTCTCTAGTTCATACTCATGACAGCTTTTCTAAAGGTTTGGCAACAGATAACAGTCACAAAGAGTAATTTCTAGTCAAAGAAATGAAAATATGAGTATAACTAGAAAAACGTTCATGAAGTTTCCATGACCTTTGAAAATTTGACAAATTTCCAGTACTTTTCTAGGCTTGGAAATCACACTTTTGAAATTTCATATTCTTAAGAGTTTATGAAATCCTGAAATTAGCACTGCATGTATCCTTTACAGATAAAGCAGTCCCAGAATGCACTGCGTCAAACAAAACATCGAAGATAGGGAACAAAGTCAAAGTACTACATTTATATTAACCTTCATACTGCATTCAATACTGACAAGTAACAGTATATAATAGCTCCATCATTTTTTTTTTTTTTTACATTTTTATTAATTTTTGCAGCATATTGCATCATTAGTTTAGCAATATGGGCAAATGTCAAACTCTACTGACTCATCCCAGTTTTATTTTAGTATTATTACATTTACTATAATAGTATTTATTAATATTTTTAATTAGCTATTATTGTTTTACATATATTTTTAGTTTTAGTAATTTTGTTATGTGCTTCTGTCAGTTTTATTATTACTATTTTTTTATATTTCTATTTAGCTTAAAATTATTTTTATTTAAGTTTTAAATTTAGTCATTTTGGTACTTCAACTTCAACTTATTTTATTTCAGTTCATTGCCAAGGCAACATTTCTAGCAAGTTTTTCGTCTAATATTTATGTTTTATTTTATTTCAGCTTTACTTCAGGTAACAAACCCAATTTTAATCATTTTAGCTGCAGTTAACAATAACAACACTAAATCGTCCTCTGTCTTCATCTGAGACGCCACATTCAAGTGGTGTATTCAAATCACTTAAGAGGTTTAATTTTAATACGCACACTACCGTAGAGAGTAAGTGTCTGTGTAGACGGCAGACAGTGAGGTAGAGTTTAGGAGAGAGTTTTTATGTTTCAGAACTAATCCATCTGAATATTCTCAGCACAGAGTGTAATGATTCAGTTAAAACACAAAATGCCAACTTTGTACTTCAACAATCGAGCAGCAAAGGTGGAGGAATATCCCACAGCTGCACAGCACCCAACCTGTACAACTAATGACCAGTCAGACTCTCTCAAAAGTGATCTCAGGTTTTATACCTTATACCCAGGCCCGAGCTGATGAATGGCAAAGATCTGTGCGGGGTTCAGCGCCTCACTGAAGACGTAGATGGCTCCGAGTTGCCCACAGAACACCCGGTTAGCATCCGCAGTCTCTGAAGAGCCCAGGAAACATTTATCATAACTCTGCAGGAAGGGAGAGAGGAAGAGGAGATAATCAACATAAAGACAGAAAAAGAAAAAAAACCAAGAAGAAAGATACCAAAAGTGGAGCTTTTTATCAGTTCAGCGGCTTGAGGGTTTTCTGAAAAGGCCCTCTGGAGCTGTTTACTTGCTATCTTCTGGTCATCTTGTTCTGAATTATTTTAGCTAGTTTATACGCAATGTCCTATAAAGGTTTGCCTAAGGGAAAAAGGTGTACTAAGGCTAATCTATATCCCTTTGATCTACAGAGAGAAGTGCTTATCTAATTGCATATCATTTGGACCCAACAGGTGCAATGTATTTTCAAAGCTGAAGAAAAAAAAAAGTTGATTTTGGCAATGCTCAGATGATCATGTGCTTCTTGAGGCTGTGTATGAAAAAGAATGAGAATGTAAAAGCACTGGAAAGATGGGAAAGCCCAAACACTTACATCATTGGTGTTGACGTGCCATGCCATGTCACCGTAGGAAACCAGCTGGCCGTTGACATAGCAACGGATCTCACTATTCCTCCAACGGTTGTAGATGTGGACTATGCTGATCATGTACCACTGTAGAAGAGGACAGGAAGTAGAAATAGGCATTCAATATTCACACCGCTCGCTCAGCCAAACATATGTAAAAGTCTTAAAGGTGCAGTAGCAAACACACAGTTCTTTATGGAAGCCCATTTCTACCACAGAATAAAAAAATAAATAAAAAAAGTTTTTAAAAGAACTTTTTAATCTCATAATTCTGAGTCTATCTCTCACAATTCTGACTTTTTTTTTTTTTGCAATTATGAGTTTATTTCACAATTTCGAGTTACCATCTTATAATTTGGACATTTTTCTCAAAATTGCAAATTTATAGCACACAATTCTAACTTTATTTCTTATAATTATGCGATTATATCTTGCAAATTTAAGTTAACCTTGCAATTCAGACTTTTTCTCAGAATTGTGAATTTATAGCACACAATTCTCAGTTTTGAATTAACATCTCATAATTTGGACATTTTTTCTCAGAATCTGAAGTTTATAGCACACAATTCTCATGTTATTTCTCATAATTACGAGTTTATATTTCACAATTCTGAATAAACATCACGTAATTTGGACATTTTATCCTCAGAATTTCATGGATGAAAGGGTCAGTCTGCATCATGAAAAACTCCTGTTTTGGTACCTTTGACAGTTGTCATAAACATGCATAAAACCTCCTTCATATTCATGACGTGTCATGAATATGAAGTCTTATGTCAGTCTTATGCACACCCCTTCAAGTAAAGTGTTACCCATTTAATTTTGTATGCATATAAATACACAAAATCATGTATTTCATGATCCAGACAGACCATTTCGTCCACAAAATTATGCAGGTCACTAGGTTCGGATTGGTTATCAGGAGTATTTTCAGAAATCCCATTGGACTAGCAACTCATTGGCCTTCTGCCCAACTTATTTTTATTTATTTATTATTAATGTTATTGCCTGCCTGAAGCAACCAAGTGATTTCTAAATTCGATTTTCAAAAATTCAATTTTCTAAATTTATTCCATTTTAAATTGATAATAAATTATCCACTAGTCTTGACGGCATCAATTACCACAAAATTAAATTATTTGCAGAAACAAGCTAATTAAATACAAAGCACTTTAACAAAAGAAAAACCCTCAGTAATGCCTTGTCTCGTTGACGTCCACTTCATTATTGTTAACGCAATGGAACGAGGGAATTTATTTTCTGTGGTAACTGATGGCATGCTACATATAGAGCTTAAATTATACTGAACCAATCTTTCAAGCTTTGGACCAAGAAAATTCTGCGGAAATGACCTGGCCCCAAAATTAAAATGGTTCAATTTTTAGATCAAGCACATAAAACATCATCTCATTACATGCTTCTAAACCAAGAGCTAAATTTACTGAAACAGACTCATTCTGTTTGATGGCAGCAATGCTAAAAGCTGTTTTGGCATATGAATTAAAGATCAGAGCCTGATGTTTGAAAGAGCTCCAGTGAGGAATACGACAACACGAATCACGTAAAAGTGTCAACCATGTATCCGTAATTCAAGCAAATAACTGAACTCTCGCAGGGTGGAGTCCATATGGATGAGCTCTGGAAATTAGTGTGGCCCGTCAGAAATTGGGAGATTTAGTGTGAACTTCCTCAAAAGACCTAATTTCCCAAATATCCTCTCCACCTTCGCAGCATCTTATTAAAGCGTAAGGCGATATTAGCTGGGGTGACAGGGGGGGAAAAGGATAAGCCAAAATCTGCTAGACTGAAAATCCATCCCGCAACCGAGATTTCATAGCTTTTAATGCCAGTTAAGATTTTACATAAATGCAAGAATGGCTCATCTTCGTCTAGACGGGGCTTTGGATTTCCCAAAAACACTATTTGAAACACAGCCTTAGAGTAGTCCTCCATTTCCAAAATTGTCTTCTGAGCTGTTGGACTCCATTGACCAATTACAATTACACCATTTAAGTTCTGGATGGATCTTTTAGCTCAGTTCAATTCAATTTCTTTTTGTTCACATCTCCGATCCTCCCTGATCCCCTGTTTTGGCTCTTTTCTTTCCCTCTTTAATATCTAAGGATGTTTAATATAAATCTAACAAAGTGGTTGATTAAAACCCAGCCCCTTTGTCCCACCACACACTGTATAAAAAGTAAAGTGCTGACTAATTAGGTGAGTTGTGAAGTTCATTGTTAGGCCGAGTACACATTTTCTCACACTAGCGTGTGTGTGTGTCTGGGCGAAGGGGTGTAGCTTGCATTCTAATTGGCACTTGTCATCCTTCTCCGTGAGCAGACAGGATGAGGTATCATATTTAAACATCCCTTGACAAATTTATTTTCATTTGTCGTTTAACAACACGTGCGATTGAGCCGAATCCGTCCCACCGGGACAAAAAGAGGAGCCAAGTTATCAAAAACCAGGTTGTATCAGCCCACTCCGAGTGAGAAAAAAAAAAAACAGAAAGAGAGAAGAAGAAAGAGAGAGCGCTAAATAGACAGATCCTGAGTGCTAAAAAGGAATGAGGTGTTATGGGAATAAATCCCACTGGAGTTCCCTTTGTTTCTTTTGTGCACAAGCCAACAAGTCATAAGGGCTTCAAGTAAGGTTGACTCAGTGGATACATCAAATTTGTGCAAAGATAAAGACTGAAAGAGACAGACAGGTGTGGTTTAACACGGCTGCTGCCCTCTAGAGGCTCATCCACTTATCTGTGCACATAGCCTGTTCATTCACTTCTCAGAGATTCATATTGAATTACCATTTTAAGAGAAAAAGTCCTTCTCCCTTATATTGTTTTCCTTTTTCCTTGTAATGCCTTATATATACAATCTGAGGCAGTTACACTTTGATTTCATGTTTTTCTTCACCCTAGTATCTATTTTATCATATTACCATATCATCAGAGAGAAGTCTGTCATTTCACTAGAAGAACGAGTTATGGCATTTTGATAAAAAAATAAAAAATAAAAAATTTACAAGGTTAATAAAAAAAGAAGAAACTTCTGCAAGGATGAATCGTTAGCAATAAAGATCAATACCATGCATTTAAATAATGCGGATTTCCATATTATGTATGGGTATGCACAAATAAGATTACACAATTACCCAAAATTATCCAAGAAAAGATATCTAGATTTCTAGATTACTATGCAGTTGCTAAGGTTTTCAAGTGGTTTTTATGCATAGCTATGTGACTGCTAGGTTTACTTGCCTCTACTCATCAAAATTTAGATCAGAAGTTCAAAATCAAACCCCCTTAATTAGAAAAATAGTCATTTTGACGTCACTTATAAAGGAAAAGACCATTTATTCACATTATAGGACCCTCCACTGAACTCTAGTTACATCTATGTGTTTAGACAGGTCAAAACTCACCTTCCTGGGCTGGAAGTCATACTTCACACAGTGTTGAAAGCCTTTCCCCTTCGACTTCAGTGATGTCACAATTAAACAGTTCCCCACAAAGTGCGCTGAGTAGCCAATCCCTTTGCTGGTTCGAAAACTAGGGGACAGACAAAAGAGAAAGTCACCGATGGAGTTTTGGCTCTTTGCCACTGTCGCCTTTGGTTTGCTTAGTTGGGGACACTTAATTTCTGGCAATATTGACAGCTTGATTGCACAGACACTATTGGAAGAGAGCTGAACTGGATGAGGACATCACTGAATCATCAATAAACTGACTTTAACTGAAAAATTGACTGTTCGTTATTGTCATCTTGCATTATTGACAAACTATTTTCCTGTTTGACACTGTAAAGCTGCTTTGACACAATCTGTATTGTATAAAGCGCTACATAAATAAAGGTGACTTGACTTGAAAAAGCACTGATTTTATGAAAAAAAAAAATGTTAACAATGGCTTTACAAAACAATAAATTGTAAGAAAAGGCAACATAATATTTTAACATTTTTAATCATAACTTCACAGACATTTCAAATTCTATTTACAACATTTCCCCTGCCTTAAACAACTCAAGCACTTTGTTATTCAGGCCATGCTACAGAACAATCTGATTTCAACGTTTTTCGCAAAAAAAAAAAATTCATAGCACTCTTATAAGTCAGATGTGAAAACTCAGTGAAAATATGGAGGGAGAATGTCAGGCTTTATTCTTGGCGGGAAAACAAACATGGCTGACTTGAGTCATTGGCAGCAGAGATTGCTGGGAGGGCTGGCTGCTGTCGACAAGGTGACTGGCTATCAGTCCGCCTCAAAGCAGTGCTGCTTCTCTCGCTCTGCGCCTACACGGATACATAATGCTATGCTGAGCTCATCACGGTAACATAGAAACGGGAAACAGGATTACATGCTGATTTAAGCGAGGTCAGTGGCCCTCAGACTTCTCAAGTGGTAATCTGTACCTTCAGTGTCTCCTCCCTCAATACTGTGCAAATGCTGCTACCCAAATAAGGAGGATATACATTATTTGCCGTTACAAATATTCAAAAAGACCCCCTGGTGATAACGCCGTTGCCACGGTGATGTTGTAGAACCATTCAAAATCAACATTATCACTTGAGGTGCACTGCTGAGGTCTGGAAATATGGGAACCAAGTTGAACGGAGCAGAATTGAGTAGAAGTGATGCTTCCGATCATATATATATATATATATATATATAATGTAATAATAATAAGTACAAAAATCACTAAATCTTTAAAGATCACCCATTCTGTGATATTCATGGAGAACAAAAATGGTAATTAACAAAAAATTACACACATGTACATACATAATTCTGTGTGTGTGTGTGTGTGTGTGTGTGTGTGCAAATTAATTCCTTTTGAAGAACTGCTGCTACAGCCATGCAGTTATTCATTTTATTATAAGCATATGACTTATTACATGTAATCATTCAGTGTGTCCTTAAGGCAAATATATTCAATATATTCAAGTCATACATTTACAGTATGTCTCTTTCCTGGGAATCAAACTCGTGACCTTGGCACAATTAGCTGCATGTTGAGCTATAGGAAATGAGCGTGTAAAATTAAATTACATCTATGTATACTAATAACTCATTCTACTGGACTTGTCTGCAACCTTCAACACAGTAAATCAACAAATCATCCTATCTGTTCTCTTGACAGCGAGCATAATGGGAACTGCACTCCACAAGTACTGTAGGTCCTTCAGGGTCTTTTGAAGGGGATTACGAGTGTTTTTGTGCAAGAAACCCTGACTAACATCAAAACCAGACTAAAGAATGAAATGCTACAGAAGTGTAGAATACGGCATTAAAGTGTAGCACTGACATTAAATTAAAGGTCAAAACTAACAAAGATCCTCAAGGCTACTCTGCAAGGCATCTCCTGTTTACAACACTGGTTTATTTTCAAAAACAACCAGAGGTTCTATAAAGAATCTCCTATGACATTTAGGAATTTTGTGAATTTATCTAGTTTGCCCTCTGGTATAGGCTTTTCTTGGTAACTGGAAAATAGGGCAGGGCTCATCACTCCTAAATTAGCAGTCTCTTCTTGTGGGCCAGCCCTGTAGAGACACTTGCCACTTCAAACAGAAATGGTAATATAATATTTCATGCACAGATCTCCCGTGTTTCCACCACGCTGAGAAGCTTGAGGCTCACAGGTGTTGGTCTAGGTCGCTCAGAGCTTCTGCTCTGAAATCAGTCCTGGCATTTACATTTTAATGACTGACGACTGGTCAGCATTAAGCCATAGCATTACCTCTGCACTTCCTTAATGCGTCACACACATTATACTCACCAGTATAAGTATGGTTTATCCTTGTCTACATTGATATTATTGAGTGGGTCCATTCGGAACCAAGTGTTGAGAGTGAATCCGTTCTGGTAAGGCCACTTAGCAATGGGCGGCAAAGCAATGGCCTGCCGTGGGGGGGCAAAACACAATGAAATTAGCAGTTGCACATTTGCAGAATCACACGAGCAACATTTGCAGAACAAGCTCATATATAATCAACTGACCATTTTGTTCAAATTTGACCTCGGTACAGTGGTTAATACCACAATTTGCACTCTATTAACAGCATTTGTGGCATAGCGTTGATTACCACAGACAATATGCTCAGATAATTTGAGATAATAACTCTCTCAGTTTGTACAAAACCAAAACATTTATGCCCTTACAGTGGAAGGCTATGGGAAACCATATGGAGGGTAGAGGGCAGAAATGTGAAGCTTATATTTGTAAAATGAATTATTCAGTAAAAACTGTAACTTAAAACGTACAGAATTTAAATGTATGAATAAATATATAATTTAGATACACTACTTTTTAAAAGGCTGCTAAGATCTTTTAATGTTTTTGAAAATCTAGATAGCATTTTTTTAAATCAAAAAGACAGTAAAACAGTAATATTGTGAAATATCATGACATTTTAAAATAACTGTTTTCTATTTTAAAAAATGTGATTTATCCATGTGATAGCAAAAATGAATTTTCAGCATCATTACACCAGCCTTCAGTGTCCCTTGATCTTTCAGAAATCATTCTAATATGTTGATTTGGTGTTCAAGAAACATTTATTATCATTATAAATGTTGAAATCAGGTGTGCTGCTTAATATAAATTTTTTCAAGATTCTTTGGTAAATAGAAAGTTCAAAGGAACAGTATTTATTTGACATATAAATCTTTTGTAACATTATAAACATATTTACTGTCACTTTTGAATGAAATCAATTGAATGAAAAGGCCTTTGCAGAATATATATATATATTTTTTTTTAAATCTTGCAAACAAAAAAATTCATAATAACCTAGCAAAGTGTAGAAAAAATGTAGAATATTCTCTTTAAGATCTAAATGGCATATGATAAGGTATTATTATTGTTGTTGGTGGTATTCTATAATTCTGACACACTAGTCTCATGCTCACACCTATAAAGTCTGGAATGATTATACGAAAGCTTTATTGTAAAAAGTGTGGGAGGTTCTCACCGCCGCACTGCGTCCTGGGAAGTTGAAGAACGTGTCAGGGCCGTGTCGCTGAGGCATCTGATTCAGCACTGATAGGAGCTTAATGGCATGTCTTGGCTATAGGCACAGAACACATGAAGGATAATGAGAGAAGACTTTGAGAACAGAGGTAAAGATATATATTTTCATGAGAGTCAAAAATGAATTATTATTAATAGTAACCATTATCAACAACCTAACAAACCAACCACTACTTGAGCCAATCAATAACCTGTCCATCAGCCTTAACCATGGCAGCACAGTTGAAATCGATACACTGCAAACCACAAACAGAGGCGTCCATGGGGAGGGCTGAGGGACAGTAGATCATTGGCTGGGCTTGCTGGAGGTCTAGCTAATGATCTGCAGATATGAGCTTCAAAAACATATTTCAAAGTATTCAACATTCAAAGTAGTCCCATCCACTTAACGTTAGCAGCTCCTTGATTTTAACAGCCACCGAAGCCAAATTTTCCCTCAGTGGAAAAGGGGCAGGAGTCTGTGGTGCAAGTAAACTCACCCACACGCCTCCATCGCCCCTCAGCATGCTGAACAACAGCTTCAGTTCCTTGACTGTGATACTATAGCTGGCCAAAACCCCCAGCATGTCCACTAAGAGATCTGAGGAAGACAGAAAGAAGAGAACAAAATGACTCAGCATTATCGGTGCACAGAATTGCCGACTCATGAGGATGATGTCACTTGGGGCAAGAAGCCAATCGTTATCTTTCTGCTGGAACATTATCTACCGCATGTTCTCCTGAGGCTCCTTTGGTCATCAGATCGCATGGAAACGCAAGTCTCATTCACATATTGGCTGTAATGGCTTGGTGTCAAACCGTCTGCTGATGTAATTTGCGTTATGAATTTAGAAGCTCTTTAAAGCGCTGTGCGAGACATGAAATAATATAATTTCGAGGAGAAATAACCCCTCAGCAGTGATGTTTGTCGTGGCATAATATCATTGTAATTTGATTTTCAAAATAACCCAGTTATACGCCATTCACTCAAAGGCCACAAATTTGGTCAAAAATGGACAGAAGCTGGAAGTGTATGAGAACTAATAGTCTGATTAGCAGCGGCATTTTCTAACATGCGGATCTGTCTAAAGAATGGTAAGAGAGAAGCTTTCTCCCAAATGTGCTCACAGAGCCAATTTTAAACATTACCCCTGCAATAAACGACGGCCATGGTCCACTGATTGTAATTACACAGAAATATTGGACACAGAATGCACAATGAGGGGTTTAGTGAGACCTATTTTTCTGAAATGTAACAGAGCCAAATCATAGAGGATTGGAACATATGGACGGGAACGTGATGCAACAAAGATTACCACAGAAATGGCTGATTCTGAATTGGATTTTCATTTGACTGAATTATTTGAACTGGAGGCACTGGTGTAAATAAATCTGATCTGTTATGCGACTGTCGTTTGGCACGCTACATTGAGCAGCCGCGTTCAATTTTTAATTGTAGTGTCTGTTCGTCAAAATAAAAGTCCCGCCTCGAAGGCATCGCCCAAACAGAAAAACTTATCGGCCGATGCCGATATTTGAAAAATGACAACTATTTATCTATTATTATTATTATACTATTATCTATTTAACAAATGACCACTATTTTATTATTGTACTATTTATTATATTTTAATAATAATAAACTTATGATTTTTATTATTGTTATTAAAAATACTAATGCTAATACAAAATATAATAATAATAATTATTATTATTATTATTTTCACTATTCACTGTTCCCAGGACAGTGTTATCCTACCTGTTGAGGGCCCTGGCCAGATATTCTCTTTATTTATAACAGTTTGTTTGAATTTACAATTTATTTTTATTTGACTTTTCACGCCATGTCTGGAACCTGCACTCCGGTGAGGCAAGGCAAGGCAAGGCAAGGCAAGTTTATTTGTATAGCACATTTCATACACAATGGTAATTCAAAGTGCTTTACATAATCTCAGAAAAGAAGGAAGCAAACTCATTGCATTTGCTGTCGGAGAGCATTTCACTGGCAATCTGACTTGGGGGGTTTGTCAGTCTCTCAACAGTAGCAAAAAGAGTGCGAGTGTTGTTTAAGTTACTGTTTATAAGGTTTGAGAAGAATGACTGTCTAGCTTTGCCTAGTGAGAGCATCTCGCTACGCTTTACTTTAGAGCTCACCTGCAATCATGTCATCGACGGAGCTCATCTTTTGCAGCACCTGCTGGATGAGCCCCACCTCGGTGCTGGTCTGTAGGTTGCGAACGCTCTTCCGCAGAATAGCTGTGAACATGCTCCAGATCTCCGCCTGGCAGGTGACGTCACAGTGCTCCAGCAGCTCCACCATGCAGGCAATGCTTTCCGCATCCTGGATGATAAAGTTCATCTCCAGGTCAAACTCTCCACCCACCAGCTGAGAAAGAAAGACAGAGCCAGTGTTAGTCACAAATGAAATTACTGAGGAAAATGTTCATTGACGAACAATATATTTTCAATCAACCACAATGAAAATGAAAAATAAACATCACGGTGATACACATCATGGTTAAACTAAATATATATAAAATATGTAGTTGTATAAAATATACTGTTACCAAAATATGACAAGAAAAAAAAATTAAAGTAAGATAATTACGTTTTGCACATTAAGGTGTTTAATGTCAAGTCAAAATTAAAAATGGCCTCAATGAATGAATACAATATTGACTCATTTTCAACAAAAGACAAGAACTCAAATGAATGGATGGATGGCAATAGTTCAAGTTTATTTACAGAGCATTTTATACAATACAGACAGCTTAAAAACAGCCTTATAGTAATAAACAGGAAAAACAGCATCAGCGACACAAAATTCTTCAAATAGGAATAAAATAATTTCAGTTATAATTCAGCTCTAGTGCCATTATTCACCACAATTTAATTTAATTATTCAGTCATCTTATTCAATAGTTGTGGGTGAGATTGACGTAGGACACAAGGTGGATGAGATGGAAAGACCAAAGTAATAAGGACAATTAGAGAATAAATGAATTTGAACAGAAAAGGCAATTGGGGAAAGGTCTTGTGAGTGCAGTGAATGTGGGAAGAAAAGCAAAGGAAACAAATAATACAGAAAGAATTATTAAAGGAGCAGTTTTTGAGGTTGCGTCCGTAGAGAGCAGCACTCTCAGCCTGGCAAACAATGATTGCGATTTGAGAGGGTCATTTAATGCCGAGGTAGAAAGAACATAATGACCTCACACACACACACTAGCATACCCTCTACCTCTCAAACAACACACTGGAGAGGAAAGGAACGGACAAACCAATCAGAGACTGTTCCTGCTCCGCAGCAAGCAATAATCAATGGCATCGGTCTTGGAGTTCAACAGGCATGAAATTGACCAGCTCTAGGCCATGCAAATGCCAAACCTCTAAGTAAATAAGCAGGTGATTTGGAAAATAAAGGCTGAAATGCCTGTAAACTACACTTCGGTGAGAAGGTGAGGTGCAGAACTTCCTTAAGAGTGTGCTGGGAGAACTATTGATTTTCACACTTCATCCAATACAGTCAGATTGGGAACGCTCTCGCTCTTTAGAACCTTTTGGAATTGGGCCGTCGATAACCTTAGCACATGTAATCTCCCCGTGCCACTCACCTTGACTGAACATTCACCTTGATTATTTCTAATATCCACGTGAGGACCTTAAACATGACTTTACCATTATCGAGTTAAGCAGCGTTCTTCAATTTCATTCAGACCATCAGAATCATACTGTGTGATCCCCTACTGCTTTTATGCACTATATACTAGCATTAAAAAGACTTCGATGCAAGTATGTGAATGCGTCTAGCGATGCAAATTTGATTTCATGCGTCACTGTGTTCAGACGTGTCACAATGCATTAATTATGTTGTATTCTCAGTGCCGCAGGCTTCGTCAGCATTAGCATAAATCTTCTATGGTCATTTCTCTCCTTTAGGTCAACAACTCTTATGGAGAAACAGAATCTTGCTAGTTAACTTTAGTTCACATGTTCATAGAAGGCATGTTATTGGACACTTCTTATGGTAACTAGGTTTCTATCTGGTTTGATTGAGGTAATCAAAACACATCTTCAACTTTTTTTTTTCCAGACAGTTGAGACAGGATTTGTTCGCAAGTCTTTCCACGGTATCATTCCATTGAACTATTTACAATCCATATAGTGCAAACAGAAGGACAGCAGGGATGGCAATCCTATTGATTTGTCACGGTTCTTCACTCCCAGAGGCCTTTAGCGAATAGATGATTAATTACGAGATGTTTACTCATCAATAATTGCCTTTGAAACCCAGAGAGATCATGGGTAGTTTAATGAACAACCGAAAATGTAGATAAGCTTTCAAGCAAATGGTTTCTAACATGGAAACAAAATAAACATGTTTTTTGCATGTGGAAATTCACAACGTTAGCCAACCCAACATAAAGTCCTCATGAAATGCTGGTAACTTCACACTAAATTTTGTACAGTACCCTTCACACAAGGATGCAGTATACAATAACAAGAATAGACTTGTTTATCTCCTACACATGACACTTATGGGATAAAACAGACTTGCACAAACACAAAAAGACGAAGGATAATACTAGAGTTTTTTTCTGACCCTTGAACACTGACAGTGGTGTCAAACACTATTTTTAAACAACAGCAGAATGCAGGAGCTGTAACAAAGAGATCAGACAGAGCACGGTACAGCCTCCAGCACATTAGCTCCCAATCTCCTCACCACTTCGGTCATGTTTTATTACAGTGGGAACAGACTTTATCTGTTTAAGTTAATCATGGCAGATATGGTGGATGGGATCGAGAAACAATCCGAGCCAGATGCGTTACACGCCAGGTCACATCTCTGACCGATGTGTCGATTTTATCTGGAAAATTGAATTTTTAGAACATTTGCTCATCTGCAATACAGCGCCAAGGCATTCCCTGTCTGATGTTTGAACATCATTCAGCAGATGCTCTGAGACATTTATCTTCAATAAACAAGCTACAGGTAGTCCAAAATGCAGCTGCTAGATTACCAGGTCAAGAAAATATGATCACATTACCCCAATTTTACAGTCTCTGCACTGGCTACATTACAGGTGGTCCAAAATGCAGCGGCTAGAGTCCTTACCAGGTCAAGAAAATATGATCACATTACCCCAATTTTACAGTCTCTGCACTGGCTACATTGATTGTACCACAACGGACAAATTGAAATATTTGACATTTTTATGCAGAAAAAGGAAATATATTTAATAAAAACATAAATTTTCTTTAACCAAATACTTGAACAAACATTTATCTAGTTTTTAAACATTAAAAAGCAAAACATAATATATAATATATATTCCAATATGTTTTAGATAACACACCGTCTCATTTTCATCCCAAGGCATACACAATATGCTAACAGGGAAAGGCTGATTTTCAGCCCCCAGAGAAAAACAACAGCTTTAGCTGTATGCTAATATATGACATGCTAACTCAATGTCAGAGATTACACTCCATGCAGCACTAAAGCAGTTAGCAACTAATTATTTTTCCACAGGGCCCCCTTCCTCTACTCCCTCCCACTCCAAATAATCAATTACTATCCAGACAGACAGTTGTGTTTGGAAGCGGGCTAATTCATCTTGAATGAAACAAGCCACAAGCCCAATAATTAAAGGGGGATAGTGTGATTTGCAGAGTTTTTTTTTCTTCTCCAAGCTGAAATACAACTGTGGGCAAATGAAGCAAATCACAATTGTTCTTAAGTGCTAAATTACTCAACAGATAACGCAATGAATGTAGTAAACCACAAGCCAGCGACAGATGAACCTTTCCGGGTTGGTGCTTAAACGATTGATTTTTCTTCAGGTTGGGGGTTTGAAGGGATGCTTTTTGGGGAACATTTGTATTTAATGTGGTAGAGAACAAATTATTCAAAGAACGAAACTCTTGAAAGTGAACTAATCGCATGCTTGCCTACGCATTCATGCAAAGGCAGGGCCAGTTCACGAGCATCGATCGCTGCCATACAGAATCCATTAGCCGAAATTAGGCCAAAGCCTTAAGGTAGTGAGCTGCACGGGTAGAATTAATTCTCCTCCTATTGAATTTCTCTTTTCCATCGAAGATCCCAATTAGAGCACGGGACACCTTACGAGCTAATATTTCAATGTCTTCGTCTCTCCTGGTGTATCTGAAGAATTAAAAAGTACTGTATTAAAAACTACCGATACACTCTTTAATTAGGCACTATGATTACACGCTGACAAATACAATGATAGAAGGGGCAACTGTGAGGGACTGAAAATAACTGATGCTACAAAGCCTAACATATCAAGGTTGCCTGGCAACCATCTATTCTACAATCCACCATGATGTCCAAGTCCATTTTGAGAATGTGAGTGCCACGCTAAACATATGACATGGCAGCGAGAAAGGAGAGCAGGTACAGATCAAGACTGAAGAACAGAGCGCTCACTGTATACAACTGGACAAATTGGCTAAAGGAGTTACGTGGGTCTTGAGCTAGTGCAAGAATGTTTAACACCGTGACACTGGATATGACGAAAACACACAGCAATCTGACGAGAGGGAGACAAAGCAGGGAGAACATTTCTAGGATTTCTGAACTCAAAGAAATATTGCTAAGCCGCCCTACAACCAGTCCTCCACTAATTCTTAACACAAAGCCTGTATGATCTCACATAAGGGACATTGACATTGTTTTTCAAGCCAAACTGCTCTACTGTGAAGAAGACCAAGATCTATAACCCGGAAAAAAGGCACCCAATTGAGGCATGTATATTTTGTGGATAAGCCAATTACAAAAGTGTTAAAAATAAATACATTTATTAATTTAAAAAAAAATTATCAAAATGGTGGACAACGAAGAGAAATGTTTATGGATATAAACTCATCCACCACTGGATACCTTCCTTGGGCCATGTGTGTGGACCTTACACTAACGTTCAATATTTTGGTGTTAGCAAGGTTTTTATTTATTTAATTTTTTTTGGAAAGAAATTAATACTTTTATTCAGAAACAACACATTAATTTGATCAAAAAGTGACGGTAAAGATTTTTTTAATGTTACAAAAGATTTCTATTTCAAATAAATGCGGTTCTTTTGAACTTTCTATTCATAAAAAGAAACCTGAAAAAAAAGTATGACAAAAATCACAAAAATACTAAGCAGCACAACTGTTTTCAACACTGATAACAATAATAAATAAAAGTAATAAATAAATAAATAATGTAAAAAAAAAAAATAAAAAAAACGAGTAATGGCTGATGAACATTCAGCTTTGCCATCACAGGAATGAATTACATTTTAAAATGTTATATTATTACATTAAAACAATAAAAAGTTATAATAAAAAGTTTTTGGGAATTGTATTAATATTTCACAA